CTTGAAATGCATGAGATCAAATCTGACAGTATGCTACCTGATTTAGGCATTGATTCGCTCATGGGTATGGAGATGGCCCACGAAATCGAGGGAGCATTCAATATCACGCTACCTGAGGCCGAGTTGATGGAGATTATAGACATTCCCGGATTGATCAAGTGCGTACAAAAGGCCGTGGGAGTTAATGGTGCGCTAGTTGACGATGGTGACTACGCCTCAGATGGTGAGGAGAGTAGCAGTGGCAAGTCTGATGATAGACAGAGTATCACCTCCTCGTCACACGGTCCCTCCACGGGTCGGACGACTCCCCGGCTAGAGTTGGAGCTCGATCTTGGCGGCGAGTTGAAGCTATCTTTTGCCACTGTAATGGAGGCATTCAACGAGACAAAGGCATTAACCGACGAACGCATCGCCGAATATGGTCAAACCGAGTACGTTGATACCGTTATGCCACTGCAGACAAAGATGTGCATCGCCTTGACTCTAGAGGCGTTGGAGGAACTAGGCGTGGTCCTTCGTGATGCCGAGCCCAACCAGAAGTTCCCACGCATATCGCACCCGAAAGAGCATTGCCGATTAGTAGAGTATCTCTACAAGATGCTGATGGAGGCACAGCTCGTCATTGTCGACGACACATACATCACGCGCACCGGCGTGCCCTATCCCACCGCCTCTAGCAGGCAGGTATTAGAAGAGCTGCTCCAGCGCTTCCCAGACCAGAACACGGCCGATAAGTTGACGTTTTACACGGGCTCAAACCTAGCGCAAGTTTTGCTCGGCAAGACGGATGGCATCAAACTTGTGTTTGGTACACCCGAAGGTCGGGAACTCGTCTCGGGCCTGTATGGCGAATGGCCCTTGAACCGCATCTTCTACAGGCAGATGGAGGACTTCCTCGGCCGGTTGGCTTCGAAGCTGCATGCGGCTGACGGCCCGCTCAAGATTCTAGAGATGGGAGCCGGTACTGGCGGAACCACTCGTTGGCTTGTCCCTCTTCTGGCTACGCTCGACATTCCCGTAGAGTACACGTTTACTGACCTGGCCCCATCCTTTGTTGCGGCTGCACGTAAGAAGTTCAAGCCGTACCCATTCATGAAGTACCGAACACACGACATCGAAAAGGCACCGGCGGCCGACCTTGAGGGCACTCAGCATATAATCATCGCTAGCAACGCAGTCCACGCGACACACAGCCTCTGCGGGTCGACGGCCAACATGCGCAAGCTCTTGCGGCCCGATGGCTTCCTAATGATGCTGGAGATGACCGGGACGTTGTACTGGGTGGACATGATATTCGGGCTCTTCGAGGGCTGGTGGTTTTTCGACGATGGGCGCACCCACGCCGTCGCGGACGAGTTGAGATGGGAGAAGGACCTCCAGTCGGTTGGCTACGGACATGTCGACTGGACCGACGGTCAACGGCCGGAGAACAAGAAGGAGAAACTGATTATTGCTATGGCATCGAGCCCGAGGTGCGAAAGACTAGAGACCCCTCCTCCCGCTTCTTCAAACCGGCCTACTAACCTTATAGTACGGCAAGCCATCATTGATCAATACGTGCGGCAGTTCACGCATGGCTTTGACGACATCTTGCAACATGCGTCAGCCGGTCCCGCTGCGACACGCTCTAGTTCCGGCTCCTACGTCGTCATTACTGGAGGCACGGGAAGCTTGGGATCACACCTCGTTGCAACCATATCCAGCCGCACAGACGTAGCCGGCGTAATCTGTCTTAATCGACGTAGCAAGCTTGAGATCAGCGCCACGGACCGCCAACTGCAAGCACTAGCACAGAAGGGAATCGCTCTTCGTCAAGACATCCTTGACAAACTGCGGGTCTTCGAAACAGATCTGTCGAAGCCTCGCCTCGGTCTATCAGATGAAGTATACAACTATATATTGGACAACGCCACCCATATCATCCACAATGCGTGGCTCATGAATGCCAAGTGGCCCGTTAAGCGATTCGAGCCGCAACTACAAATCATGCGAAACCTCCTAGACGTCGCAGGGACAGTCTCAAGCCGACAACCGGCTGGTCAAGAGAAATTTACCTTCCAGTTCGTGTCATCCATTGCGACTGTCGGATACTGGCCGATCTGGACGGGAAACCCGTGCGTTCCTGAGGAACGAATGACCCTCGAATCCGTGCTGCCGACGGGATATGGCGACGCCAAGTACATCTGCGAACTCATGCTCGACGCAACACTGCATCACCACCCTGACCGCTTCCGGTCCATGGTCGTCCGACCGGGCCAAATTGCCGGATCAAGTGCTAGCGGCTACTGGAATCCGATGGAACATTTGTCGTTCCTATGCAAGTCGTCGCAAACCCTGGCCGCTCTCCCCGACCTCCGCGGCACGCTCTCCTGGACCCCCGTCGATACCGTCGCCGCCACCCTCGCTGACTTGCTCTCTGAGCAGCATCCATACCCGGTCTACCACATCGATAACCCGATCAGGCAGCCCTGGCAGGAAACACTATCAACCCTCGCGACCGCCATAGATATTCGGGCAGACAACGTGATACCCCTACGCGAATGGATCCAAAGGGTCAAGGACCATACAAGAGATATTGGAGCCCGCGAGCACGAGGGCGATAATCCGGCTATCTTACTCGTTGATTTCCTGGAGGATAATTTCGTACGAATGTCTTGTGGTGGGCTACTCCTCGATACGGCCCGGACCCGCGAACACTCTGTCACCCTCGCCGGCTGTGGTCCTGTGGGGAAGGACCTGGTTGGGCTTTATGTGCGCAGTTGGAGGGACATGGGATTTTTGCGATAGCTGGCTTGAGCACTGGAGCGTGTTTGTCTTTTATTTTCTCTTGTTCGCCTTTCCTTCTTTCTGTTCCAGAGTTGGCTTAGCTATATATATGTTTTTGATGACTATTTTGTGGCTTCGTGATTTTGTGGCTTCGTGATTTTGTGGTTTCGTGATTTTGTGGTTTTGTGATTTTGTGGTTTCGTGATTCACGACGGGGATGGATTGTTCGGAGGTAGTAAGATTAGTATTCTTCTCGTGGGTGTTGGTATATGCCTACGTACGCTTGTCTTTTCTTTTCTTCATTTCTTTTTCGTTTCTTGTCTCTATCCCCTTTCACCAAGACAGCGGATGGTATAGGTACTGACTAGGCGACTCTCGTTCCGACGTCCCTGCAAAGTTACGAAGATTATGAAGAAATTATCAATTATCTACGCGCTTTCCTGCATGTGTTTGTTTGGTGATATAAACTAGAACCCGTGAACAGCATCAAAGGTGAAATGTCGGCCGTAGTAATAAACGGGATAAAGCTAACAGTGTCATTACTTGTGAAATCAGAGCTCACCTATCCGGGCCACAAGGTGGTCTAACTTAGTCTCTTCACGATCTGAAAGCGAGAGGATGCTGGTTGGCAAAAGTTAACAGGATAACCATCACCTCGACAAGACGCGTGACGTGAGCTACTGCAGGCAATAGCTAGCCTATCGATGTTACTGTGCTTTAGAAACAAGCATACTCTCCTTCAGTTGCAGCTTGGTGTCATCCATCGTGATGAGAAAGCCATAAATCAGGTCTGTGGTATCATTTATCGATACCAACATTTACCCTGGTGACGTGACCATCAGCAACATAATATTTCAAGAGGTCAAATTTCAGTCTTCTTCTTCGCATCGCCACACGCGGTGACGACTGCAATGAAAATGACAAGATCAAGTAGAAAATCAAAAATTGAGGAGATTGGGACACACGAGGCATCGACAAAAGGCGGAAGGCAACCACGATGTGCAATGCAGGCCCGCCAGCCCTGAGGATGGGGATTGTTGAGCCCCCGTCTCTCCCTCCAAGGTAAGTATGAAGAAGGAAGGAGAAGAGAGACCGAGAGATGGGAGGACGGGACAAGTATATATAGTGAGATTGAGAGCGGTGAGGACCGGCAGAATAAGTACCTACCTACCGCCTGCCTGGCTGGTACCTATAGGCTATCTGTAGGTAACATGGTACCTTCAGAAGCACAGGCCATAATAAGGCGGCAGGAAAGCAGCAGGGAAACCTGGTCACTTACATAAATGGCCATTCAATCATTGAAGCCCTCTGGCGAATAAACGAAGTAAAACAAGTACAGGTACTTCGAAGGGCCCTTCTAAGAGAGATGGACATCCCGTCCTGTCGGCTGACGACGAAGTGCAATTAGTAGACCGATAGTAGCCTGGACACCCGCCAGCTTTCGTACGCCTTGACGCATTCCCAACTAACACGGATATCGAGATCACACAATTATTGTCCGGAACGGTGGTATAGAGCAGACGGTCAAAGTCACTCCGCACCATCACAGAGCGCTTGGACGACTACGACTTTCTTGCAGTAAACGTTCGATGTGTGCTGAACAAGTTTGTATTGGCTAAGAATACTTTACGGGGCCGCTGCCATCAGATACAGTCCATAAACCGGCTTTACATATATGTAAAGCACGTTCTAGTTCGGCTTAGCCCTAATATAGAAAATATCACGGAATCGGGATTCAAATTTGCCTTAGAACTAGACAAGGTGTTCCAACACATAGCGCAGATGAAATGTAGTCAAGACAACTGCGCGAGGTCTTAATCGAAAGCCCGAATTTGGATATTTCTCTGGTGGTCACATTGAAGCACTCGACTCGGAGCAACTATCTCTTGCGAGAGCTCCAAATCTTTACATTCCCTGAACGGTTTTTTCCCAGACGTACGCGGCGGAATGGTAACTGTCTGCAAAGCACTTGTCTCAGGTACTGCGGGTGTCTGTAGAGCAACTTTCAAGTTAATATTTCCCCCTGAAACAAAGCTGGGGATGCTTGGACGTTATACCAACACTCATTGATTAAGAACTTCCTAAGAGCAGAAAATTAGTAACTTAGCATAGGAGATAACCATTAAGCTGCTCATTATCTAGATGATTTCATTCAAGAAGATAATCGCGTCAGGTTTGTCTCTCATCTGTAAACATCACAATGTTGAAACACGATAAGACAACACAGTGTCATGGCCCTGGTAGCTCAATTGGTTAGAGCGTCGGACTTTTATATTCATTGAAAAGTGACGTCATCCGAAGGCTGCGGGTTCGACCCCCGCCTGGGGCGCTGCGTTCAATTTTGCTCTTTTTGTCACGTTCCTCTATACTTATATATATATACGAATATCTTTCTCTTGAAGGGAGACAGCATGGATTCCGTGGGGGTGATGGGGGCAAAAGAGGTGTAGCTATTGTTTGTTTCTGTCTGACTTGTTTTCTAAGAAGTCTTCACATTATATTGTTTGCTCCAGATAGTAGTTGGCATTCTTTTAGCCCTTATCTATCATCGAGTATCTAACACGACACGCATTCCTGCATAATAAGGTGAGAGAGGCAATAAATATTCTTGAGGTGGACAGTATACATAATTTTCTTCATTGTTTCATTATCTCATCTAAAGATGGTTAGCGGGAACTGATCCGCGATGGCTTGGTAGCCCGCTGGATTCGGGTGTAGATGATCGCCACTGTCGTACTGCGAGGCCAGGTTGGCCGGAGTCGATGGGTTCGCCAGGAACTTGGCAAAATCGACCGACGCGGCGAAACTACCGTCGCCACCGGCTAGGATCCACCTATTCACTGTCTGCCGTGCCGTATCGCGCGCCGGGCTGCTATACGCTTGGCCGTTGCCGCCGAACGGTGTTATAGTCGCCCCGAACATCGTGATGCCCGCCGCCTTGGCGTCCGTCGCGATCGTCTTGAAAGCTGAGTCTAGGCTGCTGCTAATCCGCGACTGTGTGCCTGAGTCCGCTGACGCGCCACCGATGTCATTCACGCCTTCGAAGATAAGGCCATATTTGACTCCCGCTGTCGCAAGGAGATCACGCTTGTAACGTTGCAGCAACGGCGGCCCCAGCCCTCCTGTTAGAACTGCGTTCCCGCCCGCGGCTTGGTTGACCACGGCAATGTTGGTGATATTTTCTTTCTGCATTCTGGCGAGAAGTAAATCCGGCCATCTGTTGCGCAGTTTGGTTAGTTAGTCTTCATCTGAGCATCGTTTCAAATTGCGGTCGGCCTAACCGGTTGTTCTCGTTGTCGGTGCTACCACGGCCGTCTGTGATACTATCGCCGAGAATCACCAAGGCCACTGTCGACTTTGGAGACCAAGCCTCGACCGCATTTAAAAAGTACCAATGGGCAGTGCTCGCCCCTGTCACGGTTGATGCGTTGACGTGGTTCCCTTGTTGCATCCACGAAGTTGTACGACTGCCAGGATGGCCTGTAATGCTGGTTCCAGACTGACCCGCTTGAGAGTAGAGAGTGACCGTGATCATAGACTGTGGTTTGATCGTGACGTCGATAGGGTCTGTATAAACTACCTGGCCCTGAGGTATGTTCACTGAGCTTGAGCCATTGAATGTGAGCCCTCTGAGAGTTGTAGTATCGATGCCGCTGACACCGGCCGCGCCACCTATAGGAAACGCCACGGACGCGGCTGTGATAGGTAAGGCACTACCACCAAACGTGTTGGAGATCTGGATACGGATTCTCTCGGCACCAATGGACATGTGGAGTGTTTGTCTCAACGTAGCGTCCTTGAATACACCGGATCCCGTCTATGCTAGAACGTAAGGCACCGAATCTCACGCTTTCAACTCGATGAGACTCTTGTACTTACGAAGGGTGACGGAGGGAGATTGCTTTGTTCGACCAACTGTGGCATTGACGTCCACGTGGCGACCCAGTGAGAATCCGCATCTTGTCTCTTCTCCAATTTCTCGACGTATAACGGGGATCCGACCACGTACGTTGTCCATAGAAGACAAGCTACTGCGGATAGCAACTTGAGTCTCATGCCCATCATCATCTTCAAGTAAACTAGTGAGTGCCAGGGTATCTGTGTTCTTCGGCGCAAACATAAAGAATGCCAAGACGATGACTCTACGAAAAACAATAGCATTGGCGGCGTCCATTGGGATATTTATTCTGTTTATGAAGCCTCATGCTGTGGGGATTTCCCCAACTACGGATAGGCAGGCTCCGTTGTATTCTAGGAACTTTGACAGCATTTAGCCGTACTTAGCGTCTATTATGGATTAGATAGATATCACCTCTATATATCCTTCTTTGCCTGACCTGCTAAAATTTAAGAAATCCATAGTGGATGTCGAAATTGGAGATGAGGACCACGGTCGTCAGAGTTATCGGCTTAGTTAGGCATATAAAAAGACTCTACTTGATGATATGCCTCATAGCTTGCCTAGACAGCCTAGCTGGATAGGTGGTCGCCTATAACGCAACTTCGATGGTATTTGCTCGTGGTACGTTTTGTGGCTTTGCTGCTCTCGTCACCATTCTCCTAATGGCGGCGCAAGAGGGACGGCCGGGTCCTCTGCGCGGGACAACGGAAGAGGATACAGCCTCGGGTAGGATGGGTAAGCCACGAACTGGCTTTCGGCTGCACCACGGGTGTATGCATATATATGATATACTGCTGGGTATATGGTTGTTGTGTCATCACCAAATATGTATGCGATTTCCTTCGCGCTGCTTATTCCCAGGTGCTATGTAGAGACATGATGCCACTTTGAGATGTTAGTGAGCGGGAGGATAGCCGATTCCCGCATGTCAGGATTGAAAGGAAGCTAAGGGAGCCAAAGAAGCCGGCCATATATGCATCCTTTGGCAAGATGCAATGGAGCGACGTGGTGCGGGCACATGATGCTATTGGACCGAGAGTAGAACGGCGGTGAGTTGGAATGGCATGTAACCTACCTAGTACATATGATGTCAAGCGATGTAAGTAATTGTGTCCAGTTAGGTGGGCAGTCGACTGCATGAGTTAAAAACAGTTAGGTACACCTCTAGAGAAGTACAACAGCGCCGGGGGGGAAGGGTTGAAGGTTGAAGGTTGAAAATTGAAAGTTGAGATTTGAGGTTTGAACGGTGTAAGACACCATATGCTGAGATTCAGCTATTGTGTGATTGGACGCTCCCTGAAGTTTTTGTAAGGTCCTTAGGTGACCTCTCAGGTATATGTACTACCTAGGTAGTACCTAGGTAAGTAAGGTAAGTACCTATGTAGCTACTGCCAAGATACTATGTAGCTCTTTCCGCAGTTGGAGGGGCGCGTTCCGTCACCGGCTTTGTAGATTGTTAGGTTGACATGACTTCCAACTACCTAGGTAGGTTCTACTGGAATGAATATGCCTGCTACCTAGGTACCTATATATTGTCTTTGATTTCTAATACTAGATCTGAAAATTTAACTATTGTATAGATAATTGGGGTGAAGCAAATTTAAAATTTCCAAAAAAATCCGAGCCTTCCTGTCTACCTTAGAAGGTACCTAGGTAGGTAGGTACTTAACCCCTCCTTACCAGTGATGTTTACCCCTCCAAACGAGGTACCCATTTAGGTACACAACCATTGGCCGACTTAGGACATACATGTACTACCTAAACTCACTTACGACTTTTTTTTTTTTTTGGGTTGTTTCTATGACTGACTCATTTCTCAAGATACATCTCCTAGAAAGCAGCCTATGATACGACATTCCTGACCTTTGCCTACCTTTGCCTAACCTGATTTATCTTACACTCCCTCTTAAGATACCCGTTTCCCTTCCCGCATCCCATCGTGTCTTCTCGGCCAATATAATTCCACGTCATCCCGAGGTGTCAATCCATTAGAGTGTAACAAACCGAGCTTGCATCGCAACCCAGCCTTGTTTCCCAGTGTGGCATCGTTGGCTCGATTGTTGCAATCCTCAAACCTCAGAGGGCCAGTCATTTCGAATACTGCACCATTCCATTTGGGATCCAACCGTCAGCATCAATATGCCGGGAATCGCCATGGAGCCGCTTAAGGCCGATGATATGAGAGGTATGTAGCACCGAGTTGAGCTTCCTCCCTTTTCTTTTTGCTGCCGGGCTTGTGCAGTTGTTTGCTTATCGCTGCAATGATTACGTTGGATTGTACTTGGACAATGGGTAGCAGACTATATTTATCAATTGGACCGACGTTTCGAGTAGTTGTCACTGCTGCTCTATAGCTCGACGCGCGACTTGCATCTTTGTCAAGTTGATTGTGAGAGTTCGGCATGCTAATATACACCGATCCATCAGTCCTGGGTCAGGATCCCCTGATTCCTCCCGCTCTGCTCATCTCTGAAGTTCCCATGACCGATGCTTCGCTCCACACTGTCGTCAAGGGTCGCCGGGAGGCTGTCTCCATCATTATGGGCCGCAGTGACAGACTCTTGGTCATTGTTGGACCCTGCTCTATCCATGACCCTGCTATGGCACAGGAGTACGCTCGGCGTCTAAAGGCACTATCAGAAAAGCTGTCCGACGACTTGTGCGTCATCATGCGCGCCTACCTAGAGAAGCCTCGCACCACAGTCGGTTGGAAGGGCCTGATCAACGATCCCGACATTGATAACAGCTTCAAGATCAACAAGGGTCTCCGGTTATCCCGCCAGATGTTCGGTGACCTGACGAATTCCGGCATACCTATTGCGAGCGAAATGTTAGATACCATCTCACCTCAGTTTCTCGCCGACTTCATCTCTGTTGGCGCCATCGGTGCTCGAACCACCGAGTCTCAACTACACCGAGAGCTTGCTTCCGGTCTATCATTCCCCATCGGTTTCAAGAACGGCACCGACGGGAACTTGGGAGTTGCCATCGATGCCATTGGAGCCGCCGCTTCGAAACATCACTTCATGGGTGTCACTAAGCAGGGATTGGCTGCTATTACCAGGACCGCAGGCAACGAGCATGGCTTCGTAATATTGAGAGGCGGCACAAGAGGTCCCAACTACGATAAGGAGAACATCCAATTGGCAAAGGAGACATTAGTCAAGAAGGGTCAAAAGATGGCCATCATGGTCGATTGCTCTCATGGTAAGACCGATTATGCTTCGTCCAGTGGGAGGATATAAGCGATTAGTGAAGCTCTCCGTACAAAAATAGGCTAATTCAGAATTAGGTAACTCAAATAAAGATCATAGGAACCAGCCTAAGGTGGCGAAGGTGATCGGTGATCAGTTGAGAGACGGTGAGAAGGCTATCGTCGGCGTCATGATCGAGTCCAACATCAACGAGGGCAACCAGAAGGTACCGGC